CCCCCCCCCTCACTCTCTCTCTTTCTCTCTCGATTTCTCTCTTCGTCCGACACTTTGGTGTCGCTGATTCTTCGCTTTTATCATCGTCCGTGTCACCGTCTAAAGACTCACTCAAGACAAACGGACCACTTCAATTATTATCGATCCCGACATGCGGGAGGGGAGGGGGGAGGGGATAAATACTATATGCTTTTCGTCGGCGAACGTATGAGAGAAAGCCTCAATGAGGAGTCGCACTCGTGAAAGCGTCCGCGGTACGATTTGAGGATATCGGCAGTGTGACTCTGCAAGATTTTATGAATGTGCGAATTAAATGGCTGGATTAAATGTGCATAAAGTGTTCCTCATGTCGCCCGACAAGTAGACGGAATTTCTTAATGATCCTGTTGCGTTCACCCATCGATCGGACTCGATGTCCGATTATCGCGAATTACAAAATATCGTCGCGCAAGCAAGTAACGAGGTTCGCTGATTTGCGCGGTACTCGAGCGCGGTTAATATGAGAACTCACACGGATTAAATTTTCGAATGCGAAGCATTTCAGAACTAAACGACAGCTGATGACGAAATACGTTGGATCGTTGCACATCAACAGACGTAAGAAATAACTTCTTGGAAAATCGAAAGTATATTTAATGGACCGAGACGAATCAAATTTTATTTATCATCGTCATGAAAATGTATAAGAATAAAATTTTACTTATCACCGTCACGAAAATGTATAAGAAAGAAAGGAAATATATATATCTATCGCAACAGCTGCTAAGTGTCATTTGTATACACGAAAAAAAAGTTTGGTTGAATTTATTAGACAGTGAGCGCAGAATTTCTGATTATTTCTGATTATTTCGTAAGAACCGAATTTCGGTCATGAAAACCAGAAAAGAAACTCTTCAGCCGAGACGCGTTTGGCTCGTCCGTTCACTGTCTGGACAAAATTCAATCAAACTTTTTTTTCCTTTCGCCAACGGAAGGTCCCGGGTTTGATTGCCGGCCCAGCGGGCGAACCTCCAACCCCCGACACATTTTCCCTCCGATTCTTCCACTTATGTCGAGTGTGCGCACAGACCGGAAAAAATTCATCATGACGCGTATACGGCACTCAAGAAGAGCACGACTTAATTGAGACATAACCGGAGCAGCTGTGCGACCACGGTGTACTGCGTTCGCACCTCAGCGTTGGGAAAAAACGGCGATTCTTTGCCACAACATGCGGGATCGCCGCGCGGGTAACATCGAGATGCAAGATTGCGCAGAACGCGCGTGCGATGAACGGAGCGAAAGTGATCCTTGCACACGATTCAGAATGCGGTTCTCCCGACGCAGCGGCTTGATCAGGGTCGGCCAGCCGACACACTCGTCGGCCAGAAGGACTGCGATCGGATTAGATCACGCGGAATTAAACTGGAACGGACACACCGCGCGGAACGCTACGTTCTCCGTAATAGCGAGGAAAGCTACTGCTGCGCGGCTCAAATATGCTCATCGTTCGGCCGCGAGAGACTCGAACGTTGGGGGGAACGTCGATAGTATCCCCTGTGTGTCGTTTGATTCGCATCGCCGGTTCCGCGCATCTAAATAGGCACGAGCTATTCTTAAGAGCGTCAAAGTAGTATCCAAATTTTAATCGGGAAGAAAAGATTTCTCTGTTACCACGACTGAGAACATTCGTGTGAACATTCAGTCGCATTGAAACTCGGCTGGAACAACTGATCGTGAGAGCAATTGACTGAGAATAGAAACCTTCTACAGGAATCTTTCTGTTCCTACAAGAGTGTTCGCCTGGTCTTCAGGCAATGGAAAATTTTGGCGTATCAACGAAGCAGGAGAATGTAGGCATTTATTTAAATCCAGATTCGAGGAATGAATGGAAGTATAAAGTGCAACTCGATTTTCTCCGTTGCTGATACAATCTGCTACAGTTTTTTTTTTTACGATTTTTCTTGTTATGAAATAACATGATTAAGTCAGGTTTATAATTAACAACGTGGATACTGAGTTCACGAAAACATGTCTGAGAGACGTAGGCGACAGCCGGCGTCAAAGTATTAAAATAAAACCCGTTTAAGATATTATCGCTTTTCAAATTTCAACCAGTAGCCCCAGAGGGAGAAGTTTTAATAAAAGAGAATAGCTGTTGATAATATGTTGACGCGTTGGCCGCCGCGGTTATTTCCGTTGATTGTACAAAAGCTTAATTGGCGATTGAATTATCGATGATTCGGTAAATCAATATAATTCGAGGCGCGTGTATCTTTCACCTCATCCCATTGGCCTCTGTATTGGCCGTGCGGAATCGATTTTTCGCGTAAATATAATTAATTATACCTTACGTATACGCGTAACTTAATGAG